CACACACAAACACACACACACACACACACACACACACACACAAACACACGCACAATGCATGGACATATCAACACACCCTGCACATATGCGCGCGCACACACACACACAAACACACACACACACACACACACACAAATACATAGACACACATACACATGTACACACACATACACATGCACACACGCAAAGACACGCATACACACCAGCATGCCACGCACACACACACATGCACACAGATTCATACACTCATAACCACTGCATACACAACCACTATATACAAATACACACTTCAAGTCACATTGCATAGACACTCAAACTCTCACACACACACACACACACACACAATAACTCAATTGAATATGGATATAATAGGAAACATCAGGGAAATAATACAGCAGGTGTGCAGTGTCGGTGCTGTTCTGTATATCCTCAAGAGCAGGGTTCTGCAGGGTTCACCAAGTTACATTAAAGACCTTTCTAATACCATCATGAATGAACATGTACACTTATACAGGACTAAATGCTGAGGACTCTTTTCAAATATCCCAGTTGGGAAAGATTTTTACCTGCACTATCAATAAAATGATTAGAATTTACTACATTTAATAAGATGATAATAATAATGTAATAATAAAAGTATGTGTCAGGTCAGTGTCCTCGGCAGGAAATAAATGGAGAACTTTTAGACAAATGTTACAGTAAGGAAAGTGCTCAAAACATTATGGTGAGTTAAGTTATTTGGTTGGACGAGCATATATTGTTGTATAATAATGGCCAGACTGCATAGCTCTACATGAACAAAGCAAAATGAAGACCTGTTCAAAACACTCACGACCAACACAACACAATATTTCACCACATTTAGGACTTTTTAAGGCCTAAAATTTAGCTTTAGAGATTTAAGACTTTCTAAACCCCGCGGATACCCTGTCAAGAGCAGGAGAGATCATTCCAGCAGCTCTCTGACTCATAATAATCAGATTAATGTGCATTTCAGACAATTTATGAAGGAGAACTAACAGAGTTAATCAAGCACAGCAGACGCTTCATATCATTCACATCTAATACACACGGCTTATTCATTCATCTGTCAACGCCATATCAGCAGCGCTGGCTATATTCATGCTAATACTTGTATGAAATATTCAATATACCATTTACAATCATAGTTTGTTAATAATCATTCACTGTCCAAATAATATATACACAATTAAACAACAACAGCTCATGCAGGCTGCTTCAGTTTGATCAATGATGAATGTTGTAAAACTGAACACTTGCCTACATTCTCATATATCCTTTAATATATATACACATATTCTAATAAACTGTTTTATCATCTTAACACTCTTACAGATAGGGGTTTCTTCTCCTTTTAGTAAATATGCATGTCTTGAGTGGTCAATACTACATGTCATAACTGAATAAACAGATGCCACTATATAGTGTATAAGTGTGCACTGTGCAGCCGATACACCGTCACTGTCCTGATGTGTGACTGTAATGGAGGAATAATCTTTTGTCAGGCTGCTGTGATCAATCATTATGCTGAAAAGCACTATATAAGCAGTAAACTTGAGCTGAGTTGAATATTGAGTGTGTTATTAATGTCATCAGAGGTGTGTGCAGTGGAGCCACTAGTGGATTTAACCAATAGGAAGACATGTGGTTACACCTATACATCATCACAGATTATATCAGATTTTCAATAGTGAGGAGCGAACCAATACAATTCTGATGTAATTATTACATTAGTGCAAAACAAAGACAGCTAAACAATGAAATAAAAACACAAAGGGTTCATGTTAGAATTGTGTATTAGGCTGGAATTGCTCAGAGACCCCACTAATCCACAAATCACCCCATTAATTACTGTACAGGATACAGATATCATATAATAAAGATAAAACACAGTGATGAGACTCACCATGGCTTGCTCGATCTTGTTGTCTATGGCCACAACACTGGCTCCTGAGGAACTGTGGGAAATACAGAAGAACACACACACACACACACACACATTCACTGCATCAGATCAGACAGGAGGAGGAGGAGGAGGACAGGGCTGTTCCTCTGCACATCATCATTATTCATATTAATATCTGCATCTAATATAATATCTATCTATATATAGACAGACACCACAACACTCGCTGCACACAAACACTCAAATACACACACTGCATACACACTCTCATATGCAAACACACACACACACAGCATATAGACACACTCATGTTCAAATACACACAGACATCACAAACACACACACAACCACTGCAAACAAACACTCATACTACAAAATGTCACATCAACACACACATACACAGTTACTAGCTACACAAAACACCACACACACTGCATTCTCGCATAAAGAAATACACACACACACACACACACACACACACACACACACACACATCAATCGTTCATTCAGTGCATGACATCAGATCAGACAGCAGAGAATAAACACAGGCAGAGGACAGGGCTGCACATGATGATGATGATGATGATCCCCCCGGTGCTCCACATTCACCTGCTCTGCGGGCTGAGCGGACTCGAGCTCTCCAGAACCGACGACAGAACCGAGATGGAGAAACTCCGGAAAACACCGACATCCATCGGGAGACCGAAACACGGACAGTCCATCGCGTCGAGCTCACATTCTCGCTCAAGTGTGTGTGTGCGTGTATGTGTGTATGTGTTATCCGCTTAAACACCTGCTCGACACAAAGCCTCCGAGCGGAGCAGCGCAGACCCGCAGACAACCAGAGCTCAGCGCACGGCGGCACGCTATTGGTTGACAGGCGAGTCATTCGACTAATATATGCACAACCACGCCCACATACGAGCTCAGCCGACAGCAGGGGGCGCTGACTACAATAAACAGATGAACGATGAGAGCACAGTCTAGAAGGGATACAGCTGCGGATCATTTCAATAATAATTCATATTTATACATTACTGTGGGTTCAGTTTAAGGGTAGACGTTAATAAAATACAATGATTGGATAATTTAATAAATAATACTCTGTATAATTACTGTTCTTACATCAGTGTGAGGATTTGGGTTTAAGGTAGACATTAATAAAACACAATAAAATGATAATTTAATGAGGTGGTCCACTATGATATCATATTTTAAACTGTAGTTGATGTGTAATGTTGCTGTGTGGACATAAACAACATCAAACAAGTGTAAGATGCTCAAACTCCAATGCAAAGGGAGACATTGGCTTTAGCTTTGCAAAGCCTACAGCGAACAAATTTGGGGACTGCATATAAATACATCCGGGCTAATGAGATCACAAACGGTCCAGGTTACACGTATTAACTGCGCACACACCTCGAGCAGCAAAGAGGCGTGGCCACAGACGCGTTAGTAGAGGAAGGAAAGTGCCGTCCAAACGCTGCTATTTCCATGGATCTGACTCTGTTTGGCCTTCCAAAGAGAGAAGTGCTCAGTTTAATTTAATTATGTTCCAGAATATTATAAAAGAGATACAGCTCTCTGTGCAAAACATTTTACATAGGACAGCTTCCACAACTGCTCAGTTAAGTGCTGGATTCCGTAGCTGTATTAAATGAAGGTAAAATATGTGAACAAACAACGTGATTTAATACAAATGAATTATGAACACACATTGTTTAGCACCCCATAAACACAACCAAACCTTGAAGAAACATTGTGGAGCATCCCTTTAATAAAGAATAATGCTCTGTATTATGATTATTGCACATTACTGTGAGGTTAGAGTTAGAGTCGGCCTTAATAAAATACTTAACACTTATTTAATAAATAATGCTGACAGTTTTATATTAATGAGATGGTTTGTGTAGAGGTAGCCATTAATAACCCTAACATTAAATGTGTAATTTAATAAAAATATACATAATTCTTGCAAACGTTCGGCTGCAGCTGTATCTCTTATAGCAACACCCAACGACCAAAGCGCTGACTCTCAACTAAACACACAGAATTTACAATAAAACAAAGAGAAATAACATATTACCCTCCTGACTGATGAATTACGAGTCAGAACAGACCAGGGCAGTGTTTCAACAGCAGCAGAAATAACCTAAACAGTGTTTTCTCCATGTTGGAGTGTGGTGGCGTTTCCCGTCATCAAAAAAACTGAATATTTTCTCTGCTCATGACGGCTGAACACATTTAGCACACCACCGTTGTTCATCTGTTATATAATAATATCTTCATAATAATAATCATTTAAAAATGCACTTTTAGAAATGACATATTCAGGTTCAACATGCTGACTAAAGTGCACACATGTAGACATCGTGATGCTGTTATTCACGGTGCTGTCTGCATTTAGACTGAGATCATCCGGCTGATGAGAACTAGACGCTGCATTATGAGACACCACTAAATAATAACACAATATAATATTGAACCATAGACTTTTCCCTACCTTAAATTGATTTCTAATAGCTTAAATTGAAGGAAAGAAATGCTGGCAAATTTGTAAAGATACGAGATGAAGATATTAATAGTCAAATCTGCTGAACTTCCCCTTATACTGAACCGAGTCGCTGACTGCTGCTCTGTTGACAGTCTCTCATCACGTTCATTAGTGCTGTAGTATATCACTGAATGATCGTAATCGTGTCAACAGTATATGTAGCATATGCGTCGCAGACACGCGAGATCAATTATATTAATTTATGTGTTGCTTGTTTATTAAAATAAGACCAATCAGATTTAGCCATGCTATATTTAGCCCCGCCTCCACAGTAGTTGCTGTTCTGCTATTGGCTGGAGTGAATTAACCCAGAGCTGAACATAAACACTAATGGGCGGAGTCGAGACGACAGAGGAGGATGACTACAGCCAATCAGAGTCCGCATATCTGCATATCAGGTTTACATTAATCTGAATCAGAGCATGTCATAATCACAATACTCAATATCACACAGCACTACTGTCTGAGCCAGATCTCCACACACACACACACACACACACACACACACACAGACGCGGTCATCGTCATCATCATCATCAGCGCTGGTGTTTACCTGCAGAACTCCTCTAGTTCCCAGAACAGCATCTTCTCGTCTCTCTCATGGAGCCCTCAATTAAACACACCTCAAACGAGGTGATACACACACACACAAGCACCAAACTCCAGCTGGACCCTCACAACAAAATCAGAACCAGGCCCCGACACACACACACACAAACACGCATCACTGCGGTCACATGACCAGCTGCCGTTACATAAACCGCCAGTGCAGATTAGAGGACACAGCCAATCAGGAGCTGCGCTTCAGACACACACACACACACACACACACACACACACACACACACACACACCATATGTCCATGAACATGTCAGAGTGTGTGGTGTGTGTGTGTGTGTGTGTACGTAACAGAGCAAACACAGCATGAGCTCAAGCAACACACAAACAAACACACACACACACACACACACACACACACACACACACACACACAAAGACTGAGGAAAACAGAACATGTTAACAGAGGAGAGAATCTGCAGAACACACACAGAAACACACCACACGGGTGACTGGACAATCACACACGTGTGCACACACACACACACACACACCATGCTTCTATAATCACCGGGAAAACAATCAAATAAGTGTGTGTGTGTGTGTGTGTGTGAGAGAGAGAGTGAGTGGAAGTGTAAATGAGCGAGTGAGTGTGTGTTTTTGTTTGCGAGTGAGTGTGTGTGTTTGCGAGGGAGTGTATGTGTGAGGAAGTGAGTGTGTGTGTGTGTGTGTGTATGTTTCTCAGTCATATCACAATTTCTATCACACACACACACACACACGTAAACACTCTCCTCTGCTGTTGTGTGAGTGATGATTTAACGCTTCATTACAGTAATGAGACAGGAGAGTGTGTGTTCAGTCTCTCAGCACAATCAGCCTAATGCAGCGCTGCGGCTTTACTCTGGGTGTGTGTGTGTGTGTGTGTGTGTGTGTGTGATCTGACTGAGTGATTGAGCAGCACATGATCTGACACCTGGAATATCAGTGTGTGTTTGTGTTCATGTCAGTGCTGATGGCCTGTCTGCTCTGATCAGTCTCTGTGTGTGTGTGTGTGTGTGTGAGAGTTAAGGATGTGCTGCATGACTTGCTCCCTCTTACATAACAGACACGAGAACTCCAGCCAATCAGAGCACTCTCTTACAAGACCAGCACACCTTAGCAACCCCATAGAAGCCA